TAACATCCTTCCTGCCACTCCAGCTGCTTGAAAAGAAACAAAAAGCTGCAGGCACCTCCCTCCTCAGAGTGAATCCCAGTGTTAAATGTGATGCTTCCAGCAGCAGTTTCATGGTTTAAGCACTGTGTGTGTAGTCCCTCCAGGAAGGTGTGGATATGTCAGGTAGGCACAGCTGGAAATGGGCACTGCCCGTCCCTGCAATGAGCACATTCTGCCTGGCAGGAATTCTGCTGCACTTTGGTGCAGAGAACTGCCCAGGATGGCACATACCCACACAGGGGGGTTTGTCTGCTGTCTCTGTACGTATTTCTTGCTATTTGGTACAACGGGACACAAACTGCGAAATGTCTGGGATGTGTAAAAACTCTTAAATGAACAGTGGTTTTGTTCTTAATTTTTCACTCCAGATACTCTCATGTTGAGGTTACTCACGGTTTTCTCAGAAAATTCCCTGCAGGTTGATGGGGGATTTTGGTCACGTCAGGGCAGAGGCAGTAGCAGGGAAGCAATCTTCAAGAACTGGTGTGAAATTTTCAGTTCTTCTTCAGAGGGATTTCCCCTTCTTTCCACTCCTGTGGGACAAGAAGTAACTTTTAGTCTACTGACTTTGTGGGACCTTTAGGAATTCCTAGCAATGCTTACAAAGGCTCAGCCCCTCAGTGCCCTTACTCTTCCCTTTATTCCCCCATCTCATCCTATAGTCTTGCTTTGATTAGGGAGCAAACACAGGACAAGGAAGGTGACTCTGTGCTTGCAGTTTTCACTAGACACTGTCCTACCAAGTAAGCCCGTAATCAGAAAATTCAGGTTTTGACTGTGCTTTCACAACCCTGCTGCGGATCCCAAGCATCCACATTTGGTCTGTGTTTTTCCCCTTTTCTGAAGTCTCATCAGCCAAAGGCCTATCAACACAGCAGGAAGCAAAACCAGCAGCAGGAGCAGCGTCACCTCCTTGCTTGCGTAGGAGAGGAAGATAAAACCACTGTCTCTTGCACCAGCTAAAAAGGGCAGGCTGGTGGTGATTTATTCCCCAAACAGACCCTGGCTCACTGCGGGCAGGGCTGACCAGAAATCTTTTGAGCAACTCTGACAAGGTAAGTGGGGCTGTGCGGTTACACCTTCCTGCTCCCTGCAGGTTTAGGGCGTCACTTGGTGTTCTGGTTGTTCTTTGTCAGGTTTTATTTTGCAACAGCAGGCACAGGAAATGATGCCACGAGCAAAAAGAGTTCCCTGAGAAGATGAAGTAACCGTATAATTGGCAGATCTGGGGTCTAAGCACAGATCACTGAACATTTCCATGTCTTCTGTGTAGAGTCTTCGTGGAACCAAAGGAGATGCAAGAGAAAGGAGATGAGGATGTTTCTCCCGCACAAGAACAAACACTGCTCTTCAAACAACAAGGTTAATCTCTAAATCCCTTTTTTCAGAAGGAGTAGTTACACACTGTATTAAACACTGACAGTGCTGTTCTAGAGAATGAGATGTGAAAGAAAAAAGTCCTGTTCTCTGTGCATTTTTTTCAAATTATAAAAAGGATAATTTTTTTTAGTTCCAAAATATTCCCAAATATACATTCTTAGAGTAGTTAAAACCATTGACATTATAGTTTAATAATAATGTTTCATCCTCGTTTCTGGGTCAGTTAAGTTCAGTTGTCAACTTCCGGTTCAAGTAAGGAACTGCAAATCATCTGAGATGAAACAGATGACGAGGCATTTCAGAAAGATATTATGCAGTGCTTATCTACAATATATTCTGCAGGAGCAGCGCTCAACAGCCGTGCAGGCCAACTGGAGGACGTGGACGGGAGCAAAACCATCTGAAACTCTCTAATCCCATTTTTAACGTTACGGAATCTCAGCACAAAATGTTTGGGTTTTGTTTTTTTTTTCGTGAGCCAGCTGGTGTTACCAACACGTGACTACTACATGGGCTATCAACCTCCACTAGGCAGTCCCTAATTCCTTGAAATTGCTTTCTGCCCAAGTCATTACTGCCTAATTAGAGCCCTGTGGGCACAAGCGGACGGGGCAGGGGAGTTCCGTGGCCCTGTGGGCACAATGGCGTGTTCAGAGCCTCCTGCCAGACACAGGGGCTGTGCTGCTTGGTCGGCCAGGCTCGTACAAAAATGCTTTTGTAGCTGCCTTCGAGGGCTGGGAGTTCGCTGGCACTTATTTCACCCATGGATCACCAGGTTCTTATTCAGAACCAAGACTGCAGAGTTTTCCTTTGCCCTTCCTTCTTCCTTTTGTTTGGAGTTCACCAGAAAGGTCTGGTTTGGCGGGGGGAAAGACCTGGGTTTTGGCTGAAAAAGTCTAATTGTGAGAATCATTTAACTATGAAGCATTGTTTAAAAAAAAAAATCCTTGGAATACAAACGACATCCTAATATTTCAAGGTCCATCTTTTATTTTTCTAATCTAATCTTAGACCTCCTTCATGGGAAAAAGGTCATGATTGGAATTTTTTTCCTAGTCTTGGGGAAAAAAGTCCTTGTAATTAGGACAAATATTATATCCAGTATATATATTATACTATATATATATTTCTTTGGGTTAAGAAAAACCTAATCTGTTCAGGTGTTACTTGATGTTTTTCAAAACTACTTCATTTCGGTCATTTTTATTGCAATGTCTCATGGGTTTTTTTTGTTTGTTTTGGTGTGGGGTTTTTTGTTTGGTTTGTGAGGTTCTTTTTTCTTATTGCGTCTGCAAAACTAAAGGTACTGGGGGAAAATGCTGCTGCAGTTTAATTTATACTACCCAGAATCGAAGCTGGATTTAGTTGGAGATTTTGTACGATCCTATGTCAATAAACTACATAATGTATTAAGCAGATATGGCCCCGTGTGTTAATGCAGGATTGGAGATTGGAAGCACAAGTGGCAGGAGGTGGCTCAGGGAAGGGACAATGGCTCAGGCCAGCTTGTCCCCCTCTGCTTCCCTGAGAAACCTACCCAGAAAGCTGCATTTTGCCTTAATGGGGGTGTCTGGATTTCCCCTTCTGAGGGGAAAACCTGCTGAATTTTCCCCCTCACAGACACCTTTACTCGCAAAAAGGAGAATGGAAGAGCATTTCCCTCCTGCACCGAGTTTTTCCCCTCACAGGTACTTTTATTCCCCTAAGGGGAATGGAAAAGTGTCTCCTTCCTGCCCTTTTCCCCTCATGGGCACCTTTATTCTGCATGAAGGGAATGGAAAAGCATCTCCCTCACATAATGAGTATTTCCTTCACAGGCATCTTTATTCTCCTGGAGGAGAGGAATGGAGAATCTCTCTCCCTCACCGAGTTTTTCCCCTCACAGGCACCTTCATTCCTCAAGGGAACGGAAGAGCATCTCCTTCCTGCACCGAGTTTTTCCCCTCACAGGTACTGTTCAGTGAAAAAGCATCTCCTTCCCGCCCTTTTCCCCTCACAGCTACCTTTATTCCGCAGGAAGGGAATGGAAGAGCATCTCCTTCCCTCGCTGAGTTTTTCCTTCACAGGCACACCTTTATTCCCCAAGAGGGGAATGGAAGAGCATTTCCCTGCCTCCCGCACTTTCCCCCTCCCATTTCTCATGAGGGAAATAGAGAATATCTCTCCTGTGACGAGTTTTTCCCTCACGGGCACCTTTATTCCCCAGCTGGGAAATGGAAGAGCATCTCCCTCCTGCGCCGAGTTTTTCCCCTCACAGGTACTTTTATTCCCCTAAAAGGAATGGAATAGCATCTCCTTCCCGCCCTTTTCCCCTCACGGGCACCTTTATTCCCCAACAGGGAAATGGAAGAGCATCTCCCTCCTGCGCTGAGTTTTTCACCTCATAGGTACTTTTACTCCCCTAAAAGGAATGAAATAGCATCTCCTTCCCACCGTTTTGCCCTCATGGGCACCTTTATTCCCCAAGAGGGGAATGGAAGAGCATTTCCCCCTCCCTCCCGCGCTTTTCCCCTCAGGCACCTTTATCTCCTGAGGGAAACGGAGAATATCCCTCCCGCGACGACTTTTTCCCCTCACAGGTACTTTTATTCCCCTAAGAGGAATGGAATAGCATCTCCTTCCCGCGCTTTTCCCCTCACGGGCACCTTTATTCCCCAAGAGGGGAATGGAAGAGCATTTCCCTCCCTGCCCCGCTTTTCCCCTCAGGCACCTTTATCTCCTGAGGGAGACGGAGAATATCCCTCCCGCGACGACTTTTTCTCTCACGGGCACATTTATTCCCCAAGAGGGGAATGGAAGAGCATTTCCCCCTCCCTCTCGCGCTTTTCCCCTCACAGGCACCTTTATTCTCCTGAGGGAAACGGAGACTATCCCTCCCGCGACGACTTTTTCCCTCACGGGCACCTTTATTCCCCATTGGGGAATGGAAGAGCATCGTCCCTCAGGGGCACGTTTATTCATCCCGGGAGGTGAGCGGAAGAGCCTTTCCCTCAGGGGCACTTTTATTCCCCGGGAGGCGGGCGGAGGAGGCTGCCGGTCTCTCTCTCTCTAGAGACTATGAGGGCTCTGGGGACTCTGAGGTTGGGGGGATTCTGAGGGCTCTGGGGACTCTCAGGTTGGGGGGATTCTGAGGGCTCTGGGGACTCTGAGGTTGGGGGGATTCTGAGGGCTCTGGGCTCTGCCCGCAGCCGCATCCCGCGCGCGCGCGCGCCGGGCGCGCGTCCTGCAGCGGTTCCCTCCCGGCCCCGCCCCTCTCTAATCGCGCCGCCATCCCCGCGCGGCGGCGGAGGGATACGCGGCTGCGGGCGGAGGGATCCACACGGCGGAGCCGCCCCGGGCAGGGCGAGCGGCGGGCGGGCGGGAGGGAGGGAAGGCGTGAGGGAGGCAGGGCGAGGAGAGGGGCGAGCGATGCGGCGCGGCCGCGCGGGCTGAGGCGAGGCGGCCCCGCTGCGGGCACGACGGCGGTGGGCAGCGGAGCCGGTGCCGCGGGAGCGGCGGCGGAGCGGCGGGAGAACAGCTGGGGAGGGGTCCGGGGGGGGCTCCGGCCGCGGCGAGGGGAGAGAGCGGAGCCTGAGGGGAGCGGCCGGCGCGGGGGAAGGGCGAGGCTGCGGGGCCGGGCGGCGTGTGCCGGTCCTGCCGCGCTCCGGAGGCGCAGTTTAGTGGAAAAGGGAAGGGGGTAGAAAAGGGAAGCGGTTTAAAATAGCCCCCGGCCGTTCCAGGGGGTGGCTCCCCGGCCGTGCCGTGCCGTGCCGTGCCGTGGCGGGGGGGGCAGCGGGGCTCTGGTGCAGCCGCAGCCCGGGGGGCTTGGCCGTGAGAGGGGCGGGGGGCTCTGCCCTCGCTGCTCCCCTCGCCCGCCCTCGGGGCTTTTTTGTGTGGGGAAGGGGCAGGATGAGCTTGCGGAGTTTTGCTGGAATTTCTCCTTCCTTTCTGAGGCGCTGCCGCCGCTGAAGCAGATTTTTCCCTTCCTCTCTTTTTTTTTTTTTTGTCTGATGCAGAATCCCAGTAGCTAGGCAGCCTCCCTCTTTTCTTTCCTTCCTTCCTTCCACCCCTCCGCTATGTAGGGAGGGACAGGCATCAATGGAAAGGCTGAAATACTCGTAGATGGACTCGCGGATGCATTTTTTCATGAAAGAGGAGGATAAATCCCGCTTGCCCCTGCACTGACTTTTTTATTGCTGTTGCATCGCCTGGAAAAATGGGGTTCCCTCGCTCCTGCTGAATCCTCGGAGCATTCCAGAGAGTTGCTGCAGTGAAGGACTTCTCTGATTTTTTTTGCATCGGAGGAGCTGCATTGATGTTAAGCATTTTTTCGTAAAATGGAGAACGAGATCTTCACACCCCTTCTGGAGCAGTTCATGTCGAGCCCTCTTGTCACCTGGGTAAGCGTTCATTTTGCCTCCCACGTTACTCGTTTTATTTGCTCATTGTTTGACGAGAAGTGCCTTGCGGCAGAGAGCGAGGTGGAGTTAATGCCAGGGTGGTGATGGTGAGCGTTGTGTTTTAGGTGAAGACATTTGGACCGTTAGCTGGAGGAAATGGGACCAACCTGGAGGAATATGTGGCGCTGGTGGATGGAGTGCATCTGAACGAAGTCATGCTGCAAATGTGAGTGTGGGCAGGCGCTGCCTTGGGGTTATTTTAATTTTTTTAACGTTTTATTCCTCGTGTGTTTTTGCTTCCTTGTGAAAAATCCTTTCCTTGCCTCCCGGTGTTGACCTTGGGAAATTTTCTTTTGTACGTGACACGGTCATGTGGTGAGTGAAGAGGAGGCTTGGGAGCCTGGCAGATCCTGGGCACAGTTCAGTGTCCGAGGGATGTATTTGCAGGATGTATGGTGTGATACAGGCTGAATCACGACTGTGGAACTTACTGGAAAACGGGATGACTGTAAATGCTTTCCCAGATTTCCACCGAGGGGCACAAAGGTTCATTCTGCTGTTAAATCGTGCTCATAACCAAAAATTCGAATAAATTTGCGTGGCTGATAAGATTCTAATCCATCTCTTGGTCCACGTGACCTACAACTTGAGGATGGCATGCGAGTCACACAGCGTTCACTGAGCAGAGGGACTGGCCTTTAACTCCTTCCTCTTTATTTTCCACCCTTCCAAATTGGAGTAGTGAAGCTGATATTTTGAGAGCACAGGGGATATTCTGGCTGCAAACCCCAGAAGAACCATTTTAATGTGGGTTTATAAGCTGTGCGTTGAAAAACTCCGATTGTCAGAAGGATTCCTGCACAGTGGTTTTTTTGTTAATCATCATTTGGACTGGAATGTTGCCCACTACTGTAATGCTGGAGAGTAACACTTCTGTCAGGTGGCTGGTGATAGACTCATAAAAGTGTTACTAGTGCAAAAATTTCTACATACCTTTTTTTTGGGGGAGGAGTATTTTATGTCTTTACAGAGAAATAAGGCTTTTTGTTTGTATAGGCGTGGAAAACCGGGCTTGTGGCTGGAAATTGGGTACATCAGTGCGTGAGCAGCTTGTGCTGGCAGCTGCTCCTCAGGAATACTGCCCAGGGATGGGCATCCTCTCGCTCTGTTTGCAGTTTTTACTCCTGTTTAAATGGACTTTAATGGTTTGTGCTGTTGGGATTCAGCTTGTGTAACTAATCTGTGTCAAAAGAGCATTAACCTACCGCATTTTAGTGTGAACTCATCTTTTTGCAGCCACGGTTTTCTTTGCCACCTACCTCTGCACAACCAAAATTCCAAGTATTCACTCAGAATATTCACTCCAGTGTGGAGAAACATGGAAAACTTTCCAGAAAAAAAAAAAAATTCCTGAATCGATTCTGGCACGTTATTTTTATTTTGCAATTTATTTTTTCCCTTGGGCTACATGTAACTTAAATATCTTGTCAGCTACATCCATGCATTTAACATGCAGAGTTTCTATTTGGTAAAAAAAGTTTGGCACCTGGAAGGCAAATTGAGCACCAGAACATGGTGATTCTGAGGAAGATAGTCTCGGAGTTAAACTTTGTCAGGAATTTTTCTTAGCCCTGAGCGTAAATTGGTACCTGACAGCTGTTTGTCGAGTGGAAAGCTTTTTGGGAAGGAACATTCCCATGCCTGAGGCACCGTGTGTTGAATTTGGCTTTGTGCATCTTTGAGCCCGTGCCACGATTGCTGGAGTTTACTCAGGAGGTGCTGGGTGCGTGGGTATGAAAAAACACCCGCTGGAGATGGAAACGGAAAATAAAGTGGTTTGGTGAGGCAGAACAGTTCGAAACCACCTTAACCTAGAGGTGAATGGAAAAGGACCGGTGTACAAATAAAATTAGTGTTGGAAGTGTGTGCCTACCCTGGAAGGTGTGTTTTATTAAAAATACAGATTTTTTTTTTGGAGGTGAGATTGGTTACTGCTTAGAACTGCCTTTCATGACGGCGTTCAGATTTTGGGAAGGTTCAGTTTGTTTGGGGTTTTGTGCCAGGACTGAAAGAGGGGAAAAACTGTTTCATGTTTTGCAGACTGATCCTGTCAGTGGTGAGGTCACTGTGGAAAGCTGTGTTCACTTCCAGTCCTGTTCACTCTGAATATCCATTTATTCATTTGCAAAAACCTTTCAGAGAGGCAGCCCCAACTCATCATCAGTAGCACTTATTTCCAGTCTTTCTTTTATTTTTATTTTCCTTTAATTTTTAACTAGCACGTGTTGAGGAAATGCGGCAGAGAAGTTTGTGTCACGTGGCTTCAAAAGAGAAGTATTTTCCGTCAGAATGTTGGGATTGGGTTTTTTTTGTTGTCGTTGTTGTTGGTTGGTTGGTTTGGTTTGGGTGTTTTTTATTTTTAAAGCTCTCAGGGAGTTCAGATGAGAGCAAGATCTGTGGTGAGGAGCTCTGGCACTGGGGGCTGGTGGAGGTGCTGTGGTCCTGCTCCATATATATGCTTAAACATTCCCTGTACTCTTGCCTAATGTTGGAAAACCAAAATCTGTGACCGTAAAAGTGAGTGTTGCTATTGGATTAGGCATGGTTTGCACACACTTACACAGGCAAAAAAAAAAAATAAAAATAGTGGCTTTGTTAGTTAGGGAAGGTTTTTTGTTCGGTTGGAAAAGAGTCAATCCTGCCCTCCATCAGCTGCAAGTGACAGTTTGTCAGTGCAGGATTTGCTTCTCCTTGTGCTTGTCTGGATCACCTTTTTTTCCAATAACTGTAGTGATTCAGAGGAAATAGGTGTGAGCGTTGGCATAGCTGCAGGGTGCTGATGGCACTGAGATTGTAGGGTCCATCAGCACTGAGTTTATTAGTACCTCATGCACGAGAGGGGAAAATTCATTGCATTCCTTGTCTGTCTTCTGACTTTTTGGACATTTCTGAACACGTGAAAATTGCACAGATTCCATTCAGTGTCCAGTTATGTCTCTTCCTTTGTTGGAGATGCTACAGGCTAGTTTAATGATTGCTTTTTTTTTTTCATTTTGTTTTTAATTAAGGAGAGTCCCAGTGTTACAGTATCAGCCCCTGACTTGAGAGAATGCCTCTAATTTCCTGTTTAAATTTAGGCCCAGTTCTTCAAAAGTATTGGGTTACTCACCTTCTGCTGGGATCAGTCAGCATCTGATCCTCGTGCATAGAAACCCATCTGTCCCTCTGAATCTGAGCCTTCATCTTTGTGTTCTTTGGTGCAAAAGGGGGTCACGCTGCTTGCAAATCAATCAGAGCGCAGAGCTGGCTGCTCTGCCGGGCAGGCAGGTGGGGGCACATGCCAGGAGCACCTCCTGCATTTACCTCACCTCTGTCTCGGGGTCCTTCTGACATGCTGAAGGCAAGATGTGTTGTGTGCAGTGCTGAAATCAGTGAACCACTCTAACTCGATGGATTAGTCACCTGTTGCACATCTCTGCACAACTGCAGGAAAATAATACTGACTTGTGCTAGAGATACTTCTCCAGCACCTGGCTGGCATCACCTCAGGGTTTTTTAATAGTCTGAGTGAGCATTGTGCTGTTTATGTTCCTCTGATCCGAAAAAATCAAGGTAACTTTGCGGAAACACTTCATTTTCTGAGTGCTGTTTAATTTACATTTTTGATAGGTTCTCGTTCTCTGATATTTAACTGAATTCCAAGAGGATTGTGTAAGAAATGCTGAGAGTCTTGTAGTATGAGCTGTGGTTCCCAAACTGACAAGGGTCTTACTAGTTCCTTTGAATAAAAACAGACAGCTGCAAGTAGTTACAAGATTGGGGCTTTCATTACGTTTACCACCACCATTAATATTTGGTCGAGCAACAAAGGCTCGAAACTGTATTTTACTTTTTTTTGTTTCATTTTTACTACGCTTTGCATTCGTGGAAAGAAATCTGGCTTAGAGGAACTCTTGGCCACAGACTGTGTGTGCGGGGTTGGTAACGTGCAGACCCAAACTCCGAATTCATTTAATCCACCGTCTGGGAAACCTGGCTGCTTGCACCCCAGCGTGCCATTTAGAACCCTGCTCTTCATTTAATGCATTAACCAGTACTTTCCATATCAGTTGCTGCATCCAGACATGCTGAAAGCGGCTTCAGAGGGCGAAGTGTTTAATCCTCCTGCTGTTTCTTTCCCCTTTTGCTGCTCTCCCCCTGCTTTTCCCTGCCTGGATCCCGTCTCGGGCTGTTCCCAGCGCTCAGATTTTCCAGGTGGCCGGGCCGTTTCCTTGCAGGGCCCTCCCTGGCGATGTGTGCCCAGAATGCTGCCCTGGCTGCTGTGCCAAGCTCTCAGTCTCCCCTTGGATGCTTTTTTCCAAGCTCTGCCGCCTGCCAGCCCCTACTTCTGGCCTGCCTGCATCTCCCCCTGAAAACTGGACCAGGGCTGCAGTGCAGCAGCCAGCTGCCTGCTCCGGGAAAGGGAGCAGGAACGGCCTCTCCAGGCCAGTTAACTCCTTCTTGGGAACGCCAAGGAGCACGAGGCAGCTCCTGACTGCGTGGGGAAATGGAAAAGAGGAAAATGAAATGGGTGGCTTTGGCTGGAGGAACATTTATTTTAGGAAAGGAGGTCAGATGTTAGGAAGTCTGCTCGCTTTGTGGCAGCGAGTGGATTTGATGGACACGTTTCAGACGGGTCTCCATGGTGCAAGGTGCATCTCATTCTCACAGTTTGGAGCTGTTGCTCTTCTCTGCAGCAGCAGGGCCTAGGCTTTTCTTCAGGGAAGATGGATTTCTAACAGTAATTTTTCTGTTGTAAATGGCCCAGCACAACGTGCAGCGTGGTCAGGACTGTTGGGATTAAAGCCTTTTGTTTACAGGAAAGGGAAACATAGTTCTGAGGGAAATGTTGAATAATTTGGGACTGGAACATCTGCCTGCAGGGAGCTCTGAACTTGGCAGATGAGGGGGACGTGGGCTGATAACCTGCACTCGTGAGGGGCTTGATAGGAAAAGGGAAGAAAGTGTGGGTTAAACATGGAATGCTGGAAGTGTTTGGTCTTGGCTTATGTCTTACTAGGGGTTTTTATGCATGTGTACCCTTTTCCACAGCTGATGTCCCCTTTCCTTCATCCTGGCTGCGCTGATTTGCTGAGCAGCAAACCCTTCTGTGCTTCACTCTCTTGTTCCTCACAGAATTTTGAAGATTAGGAATTAAATCAACTAATCTTCCTCTACATGTATACA